TCACTGTGTTTTAAAAACATTAATTACCTCATTTAAACAATACTTTGTTGTTATTTAAGTCAATCCAATCCTAAAACTTGATTAAACAGAAACTGGTTTCATATTTAAGAAGTAGAAATGACACTTAGGTACATAATCAAATTCGACTGAATAAACCTTTTTTAATTCTAAGCTTATTACTTATGATTCTCATGAATATGACTTAAAATTTGCAAAAGTTCTACTTTTGAGTTAGCTTTTTTTTAATAATGTTACATGTTTTTTCGAATACGTTGCTTCTATATTTGAAACATTTTTAAAAGCAACAAAAAATCAAAGTAGGATGAAATTCATTGGAAATGAAAGGTAAAATATAAAAAATGAAAGGAAATATCATTTACAGCCGATCGGGTACTTGTACTATAACTCAACATTTTTAGTGTCTCTTATATGAGAATTAAGAGTGATGAAGAGTAAATGAGCAACTGGTGTCAAATATTGTAAACACTGATTTGGCATTTCACTGACTGTGAGTACACCACATATCCAATATATGTACATAGCTATTAAGTTTGTCAAACTATACATGGTACCAGAATATTAAAATATCATCTAAATTCCACAATGGGTTAACATACATACATATATTCATATGTGGGCATGTACTTAACCTAAAGCAATTATAAAAAGTCGCACAAAATTATATAAAAATACATATGAGAAGATGGAAATTTTAGAGTGCTACTCTTAAATTCATTTACATTGACAATAAAATGCACTTCGGTTTATTCATTCACATTTCTCTGCCAGTTGTTGGTTTTTGTTGCGGGTGCTGATAATTTTACTTTGCTTTTTGTATCTCTTCCGCACTACTCATTTTCTTGACATGGCGGGGTACTGTGAAACGAATAAAAATGACATGTTCAGCCTCAATGGCCCCGGCAACCATTGCCCTAAACAAAAACAATAATAGCGAAATATGTAAGTAAAAGCAATGAAGTAACAAACTTGGCATGCATGCGAAACACTTTGTGGCTGAATGTGGAATTAAGTCAAAATCGGTTTGAGTTGTAGAAGGGAATGAGGATCAGCGGGTTGGCACTGTTCTACTCGGTCGTAGCCTGTATTAGCATTAAGTGCATATGCGCATTATAAGCTTCGCAATAACAACAAGTCCACATATTATACTCTTACAATATCATGCACACCAAATACCTATCAGTACAGCCACAACTATATACACAAGTACATATATGTATACGCATATACAAATGTATTTCTATGACTACTTAAATAAAAGCACGTTTTGTGACACACCAAGTGATTGTACGAATACTAAAAAATGCACCAACAACTAAATGTGTGACTGTCTATAGGTTTGGAAGGTTCAATGGAGGTCACTTGGTCAGAGTTCAAGAGCATTGACTAATCAACACTCAATGTATAGTCACTCAACGAATTTTAATATGAAATGCATTTTACATATTAACATATGCACATAATTCGTACATATAGGACATGCATATACAAAGTGTGGGTATGCAGCAACCGCTAGATAACTGCCGTATACGAGAGGTTGCTGCGTAACTCCAATTCTGCTAATCGAATTTATGTGACCTCCGACGCAAACTCTCTTCTTTATATATTTATATTTATAAATACATATGTAAGAATGCGTCTAAACACTTGTAAGTCATATGTATGTACATATTTGGACCCAGTACCTCTAAACAATCGATATGCATATACAGTGAAATTCTCCATTATAGACAATCCGGCTATGAAGACATCTTCCATAACTGGACAAATTTCCTGAAAACAACGTTTTCATTATTATTTTCATACAAAAGCGATTCCTATAACCGGACATGATTACTTTCCAATGGCGTAACACAGACATTATTTTGGTGATATTTCGTTCAAATTATCTCTGATAAAATTTGCCAAATAAATTTAGTCGAAATCGGTCGATCAGGTCCCGAGATATGCAATTTCACTAAAAATTGGGCGTTGCACGAGCGTCGTCCGATACGGGTTCTTAAAATATTTGTAATAAGCAAATTTGGTTGTTATCCCTTTGGTGGTTTTGGGAGACATGTTCATTAAACATATTATTTTCAAAATTTATTGCTTCAAAAATTTTTGCCCCCAGATGCTGCTTGCTACTGCGACAGTTCTATAGTATATTTTAATTTTGTGCTTAGTTATGGCACTTTATAGATTTTCGGTTAATTGGATTTGCGGGTGTGGCAAACGGACAGTCATCCGGATTTCAACCCATCTCATCATCCCGATAATTTATACAAGTATATGTATATAGCCAAATATCTATCGCGATTAGCTTTAGTTGATACATACAACCGTTAGGTAAAAGAACTATTATACCACATATGTAACAACGGTTTGCAAGATTATAAATTACTATTTTATTTATAATATTATTTTAAGCTACTTCAAAATTCCGAAACTGAAATCGGCAAAACACAGTTTAGATGTAGTAAAAATTAAACTAATTTCGAACATAAAGAGTTCTTAAAATCTACTATTCCTAGGAATATACTTTTGGAGTAAAATCAATTTTACAACGTTTTGCTACTCTTCCGTCAGTTGTGGTTTATCCACAGCGGTTTTGTAATATGTCGCGTGTTACTTCAGTCCAAATTAAAATTATATAAAAAAGAGTTTTTATTGATCTGAAGTTGAATTGCTTCAACTTTAATTCAACTGAGTGAAGACAACTGTAATAGGGGTAATAAAAATATGTACTATATTAACACAAACTAAATAAAATAAAACAAAGAAATTGTATTTGCTACATGTCTTATTTATTATAATATTCCGATACTTTTTTGCTTTCCTATTGTTAACTGGAGAAGCTCCCTGCCCACGCGTATTTATTTCCTCAGTTTTTTTTAGAGAATTCAATCGGACCGAAAAAGATTTTGCTCCGATGTTGTAATGAAAAATAGGCAATCACTCCGGGAAATGTTTAAATCAGTATTTAACAGTTTAAGCTTTGTCTGATTGTGTTTAACATCTTATAAGCTCGTCTATTATAATGTTAGTCGAATATCTATTCCGATTTTCAATGCCTGCGCCATGCTCTACAAATAGTAACATGACAAAGTTTATGCCCTGAGTTCCTCTGGGTCCTAATAGACTTATTATATGTACATATGTATGTACCAGCATATTATGACAGTGTATACGTACTATGTATGAGTATGTTTGAGTGTAGTCAGTTGCCAGTTTCTGTCCGCTGTTTGCACTCTTTTGTGTGACTGTTTGTATCGCAAATAATTCTAAAAATACATGGTAATGGTGATGGCTCAGGTCGCGCGGTCGTCGCATTTAAGATATACAAATATATGCATATACCTACATACATATGAAGACATTTTACTTGGCATTTGCTCGAGCACGCTCACTGTCCCTATGACAGAGGAATTCTTTTTTAGAAATTTAGTTGTTGTAATAAAAAAATTATGTGAACACCGAACATGCATATGTATGTATGTATTCATTTTTTCATTATGAAGCGTACAAATGGGTATGCATAAACAAAAAACGTTTTTTTAAATATTACATCTAGCTTTACTTCGATACCCTTTCTCTCAATCTCATCTGATTAGTTAGCACGAAAGATGGCTTATACTGAATGATCAATTTTATAATAAGCAGCAATGTCGTAATTGAAACAGTTGAATAATTTTGGTAAAATTGACATATTTCTGCATTTTGGAAGTGATCATAAATATTTACATTTGATCCCAATGATAGCAATGTCGTTAGACATTTAAAGGAAGGCCTTCCAAATTATTTCTTCTCAAAAAACGAGTTGAAAATACAAGGATAGTGCTGGATTGAAATATATTTAGCCGTAAGAGTACGAATATGACCTATCGTCTAATAAATTATGCCGGAAACTATAAAACTGCACACCTACCAAAAGCTACCAAATTTTTATTGTGCTTTAATGGACAATGAAACTTACGTTAAAACAGAGTACGAGCAACTTCCAGGCAAAAAACTTTTGTCCCCAGTTTTTCCGAATTTATTCGCACGTAATCCTTATGTTTTCGACGTTTTCGCTGTGGAAAACCGCGCGTTAGATGTTCGATAGTTGGTAAAAGTTAATAAAACAGCATACAATGCGTACATTATTTACGTTGCAGCAGTTTAGGTAAACCTAAGCATTTTTGTGATTACTTTAAAACGATTGATGGTTTTGTGTGAGATAAAAATAACATTACTATTTGATCACAAATAAATAATAGTTTTCCTGAAAACTAATTCAAGATCACAAATTTATCACGGCTGAAGAAGACCAAACTATTATTATAAACTCAGATACCCGATACTTATATTTCATAGGGCTTTCTAATATTGTTTGCTAATAACTTTTGCAGATTTATGTATGCACTATTATAATATTTATTGAATTTATTGGTGGGCAGGACAAAAATGTATAAAATGGCTCACTTGGTTACAGTGAGCACTTCGCTTATTTATGAATAAAGCGTTTTATGCGTATGCAAAGGACTCTGTTTCCCGATTTTGTACTAAGAGTTATTAACATTTTTACATTAACGAAGAAACATTTCTTTTATTAAATAATGAGTATACCTAAATACCAAATAAACTGACGGCTAATCCCAAAACGCTAAAATTATATACCATATCTAGTCGGCAGGTTAATGTGTTTCCGGTTTTATGCGTCTCTATATCTATATAAGTTTTACAACAATAACTAACATAATTATTATTTTGTTTTGCAAAGCTGTGTTTATATAATTATAAGTATGTGTGTATATATATATCTAACATATAAGGATATACATACATATATGATCATATATGTACATATGTACGTGCCCAAGTTTATCTTGAAAAAAAATATAAACACAAATAGGTATGTTTGCAAATGAACGCTGATTGTGGCATAAAAGACGATGTCTTGCATATTTTGTTTATCTACCTTATCATATTACGGTATATTGTTATAATCCAAACGTACTTACATACATATTTACTTATATTCAAAGTGTATACTTATATTTACATTCATCAGGTTCTGGTGACAACGGATTGGCATTCACCACAAAAGAGAATCATATCAACTTATTCGCACTGTTTATTTAGCTTTTCGTTCTTCTTTCAGTAGTCAATTCGCTCAAACAACTTCAGACAAAAATGAAATTTGCATTTTGTATCAAACACATACTCATTAAATTTTTTGTCAATTACATGCTTAATCATTTTCCTCTAAAAATTTTAAGTTCCGTCGCAATTCCGCTACATCTCACTGTGTAGTCTGTTTGTATTATTGATTGACACGATTTGACATATTCTGCCCCACGATTTATAATTATATATAGCACTCCTATTAATGTACTTATATGTATACATATGTATGTATATTGAGTATGCACATTTAATGTTCGTTTCACTTGCTCGTTTGCTTTGACTCGTGCGCACTCCAGATAGAACGCGACCTCCACGCAAAAGCGTTGCAAAAACAACTGATTCTCAAAAATGGACGAGAGATTTTTCAGTGCTTCCAATTGTTAATATGATCATCGCCCGCTCTCTGTTCCTAAAACTCTTTGTCTAACCATACTTTGATTAATGTTTTATAAATTTTATTCATTCTCTTATAAAGAGAAATATGTTGAGCAAACCTCTATTTTATGATAATTTCAGTAGTATCACTTGTTACATATTCTAGTGTGTGAATAGTGTATATACATATATTTACATACATATGTATATGTACTTTACTAATGTTTATTTTTATTACCCTACAACTTCATTAGCTTTATTTCACCTGCTGCAAGAATCATTAACGATGAATCGCTAATACAAACCGTTCGTCCTCAATGGCAGAATATCAATAGTAAACAATATCGCCTGCAAGCTATCTAAAGAAATGAGTTTCCAAATAAAAATTTGGATTTTAATTTTATATAAATTACAAGCAACATTAACTAGTGGTTGTTAAGTATCCTAATAACGCAGTACGATTTTATTTGATGTTTTCTATGGTTGGGCATCACTTTTATCATGTCCCAAGAGGACGGTGATACCGTGCTAATTGTCTAAATCAGTCATTTTATAAAAAATTTGAAGATTTTTGGTTTTTGCTCTGAATTCGAAAATACTTATTTCTTGCATACATAGTACTCAATGGTTAATGGTTCAGAGTGATATACGTTGAGACTAATTTCGATAAATGGTATGGGAAATAAAAACGCAATAGTGGTTAATATTTGAAATGTACAATAAATTCCAAATGAATCTTAAAAAAATAGAAGATATTCCCGATTTGCTAGAGAAAACTTCATAAATGTATATTGTTCTGAAAGCATTGAACAAATTTATACTAGTTCTCTACTTTTAAATTACTAACATTCGACTTATTAATTTTTATAGAAACTATTGCATCTGCTCGCATATTATCGTTATAGGAGAGCGTACGTATACATACATATGTAAGTAGTCCAGATAAGGCGGTGTCTCTACATAACAATCCAAAGCAGAAGGGCAAAAACTAACTAAATCAGACCTTCTCGTGCCTCAACTGACGCCACTTACGAGTATGTCGACTTTCCAGTCTCTTAAAGTACAACCACTACTTACAAAACTCGATATAATAACTGAGATTATTGTTTATTTGTTGGTTGGCGAGGAGTCACGCTTTGGTCATATCGGCGCGGTGTTTGGCCACAGCAGTTCAGCGGTCAAGACACTGGTCAATGCACAAAGCCGCTTGCGCATGCGTTGCTGTTACAATTTCAAATGCCAGTAGCATCGGCAAAAGCGAGGTGGCTATTTAGGAATGCCACATCGCCACTCAAGGAATCCAATGAAGAATGTGTATTAAGCAAAAAGAACTGTTCAAATTAAAAGAGAGCTGCAACGGAAGCAAAGTGTGGAGAAGAAGTTGCCCGAGCACTCAACACTACAGAATAGAGTACGAAAAAGACAAAATTAAATCTTCAGATATTTGAACTTGTTTCGACAAGAACAAATTCATATCGGTTGGTTGCACTTATTAGAACTCTTGAAGTTGCAGCGACGCCAGATATCGCCAGTAGCACCAGCAGCAAGTAAGAGTACTAGTTGCCCGCAATTTAAACGCGTTTTTATACGCCTTGTAAATTACATTTTCAGAATTGTTTTGTCTCGTTGTGGTCATGTCGCGCAGATGATATCAAGCTCCGCTGCGCATACTTTCACATATCTGTGCTCATCTACTTGTCTAACGTTATTAAAGTGTTTTTGTTTACCACGTCAGCATAATGGTAAAAGAATAATCAATTAAATGTATGTAATACTACGTACAAAACATTGCGAGAGTTTGGAAATCATTGACTTTAATGATTAATTATACTAGTTTACAGTTATTTTGCGACTGAGAGGTTAAACGCTGTTTTTTGCTAAGTTTGGGTTGCTAAAAATTTCCTAACAAGTAGAATTTTTCCTTCATATTTTTTGAGTATTGTTGTTATTCAATAGCAGTTCGAAATATATTATGTATATTTACATCAGTTTATTTTATAAAAATGAGGAATTCAATACATTGAATATGTATGCTATAGTATAATACATATTTTCAACGGTGTAACTAGTAAGTTTAATATAATCTATACGATCTGATTTCGCCAATATTTGTAGCTAAACTAAAATATGTACTAGAAAATATCTTCAATTACTTTAAAGATATTTTATATATTAAACGATATATATTATATATTTCCACAAAATAACTACCAACAAGTAAGGAAGGTCTAAGTTTGGGTGCAACCGAACATTTTATATACTCTTACAACTTGCAAGAATAAAAGACAGGTACATACTTTAAGGTGTAAAATCAATCATATAAAGTAAATTCAGCCGGCTGTTCGAAATTCCTGATATTAGTTATATAGAGGCTAGTCCAACTTTTCGCTCGAATTTATACATTTTGAGTACAAAGATACTCCGTTATGAATAAAATACCCCGAAGTTCGAACATGTTTATATTAAGTAAATTTGGACTAAGGGAAGTATTAGTCCGATTCAACCAATATTTCCATGTCATAGACTAAAGATATTATTCGTGCAAAATTTTATCCCATTATATTAATTGCTTCCTGATTTATGCACCAGAAACTGAATGAATTAAGTGAAATTTAAAATTGTGCTATATGGGAAGTAGGTGGTTGTTGTTCGATTTCATCCATTTTCCGAATGTCACTTAAATATGTAAGAAGAAATCCACGTACTAAATTTTGTCGAAATCGGTTAGTCGGTTTCCGAGATATGGGATTTCACCAAAAAGTGGGCGGTACCACGCTCGTCTTCCAAGTTTCATACCAGATCCCGCAAAACTCTCCTATTATCTTCATTTATCTGTTTTAAAGTGAAAGAATCCGAGAGAACTCAAAGTGATGTTGTAGAGGAAACAGGCGCGATTGATTATAATTTCGTATATTTTCAGGCCATAACATAAACAGCTTTACTGCGGAATTCAGGATTTTTATTTGCAGAAGGCAACAGAAGCCAGTCAACTTAAAAACGCAGATAATAAGCCAGAAGGGCATACATACATACATATGCACATTAAAAATTAATAACAACGGCATTTTATTTAAGTAGAAACGTTCGTAAATAAATTAAAAAATTAAGTAAAGATATTGTTTACGTTATTCAATAGATACAAACTTCATATTTCGTAAAGTAGTGTAGCCAACTGCTAAACGTCAGTTCCTTGATTTTGATATCTCTACCGACTATAATATGTCGATAGTATTCGATAGCATAACGGTAGATTTAAAATTTCTCGGCTTTAGAGAGTCCAATTATTATTGTTGACTGCGTTACAGTTTTCAGCATTATTCACTACATACTTTGTCAGTAGCAGCCGCAAAGGTTAGACATGTTTTTAAAATAAATAGAACCAATAAAGGACGTCGTTTTACAAGCATAGTTGATATAAAAGCGCAGCACTGAAAGAGCTCAGGTTATCCTAAACATTGAGCTTCAAAAGTTTTTCGACGATTGGAAAAAGCACTTGCATACATAAGTGCATAATATCGAATGGAAACTATTTTCAATGGAATGTAAATACGTAATAGGAGTGAATGATGAAACGCAAATGTTTTGAATCAAAATACACTTAAAAGGGTGACATGTTCTAAAAGTGTAATGTGCTTTACTCATAGCCAATTTTAAAACTTATCCTCATTTAAACTTCATTCTTGAAGATACATATATTTACACACACATTAATTATAGGGTACATATGTATATGTATATGGTATATAAATTATCAGGATGACGAGTTGAAATCCGAGTGTGTACCCCAATAATTGAAAACGTATAAAGAGCCATAACTATTACTTAAATAAAGATACGGAATTTAAGTTTGGCACAACGAATCACATTAAGGAGAGCACCTGTGTGTGCGTGGCTCTAAAAAAGTTTAATGTATATATTTTTAACCATTTTTACGATACTGTGAATATAGGTGAATGGACCTCGCCTATTTTTCATATAACACTATTTCAAATTTCATCTGATTCTTCACTTTCCAGTATGCAAATCAAGCCCTATAAAATGTATCGAATTAAAACTTCGCATGAATAGTGCGTCTAAGGTGTGCCATTTTAGGACCACAACTGTTCCAGACACTAGATACCGAATATGTGGAACCCAGCTTTTAATAGGAAACTTTTATTTACTTAGTCCGAACTTAGCCCTTCCTTACTTGTCTTTTATTTACGTATGTACATGCTTTCATTCAATAACTTCAATTGATGTATTAATATGTTTCAACTATTTTATATGTATAATTGTAAATATTGCGTAATTGGTAGAACTATTGAACTTCAAAATACTTTTAAATCGCTGTTAAAAGTGCTTTGAAGTTACTATGGATGCTACGAGATCATACATAGTACAAAATACAGTTATTGTTGCCAATGCAACTATTCACCAGTAACCTTAGACAACAGGGGTGTATTTTCAGTATTCAAACTTAGGTCTTATAATACAGAGTGGCGCACCAATCGTGCTACAAAATAAATCGTTCACGCTTTGCAGTGACTAAGGTATACATTAATTAATAACTATTTAACGTAGTAAAATTGCATTTCTGAATAAAAAATTAAAACATTATTCCCGGTTTAAGAATAACACCGTGGGGAAATAATCCACGAGATGGAACTTCACCCAGAATGAGTCACAGTGTGGTCCGCAGAATTTAATCAGTCCATTCAATTGATAATTGATGCAACCCCAACTACAACCCTTCAGGACGCAATGAATAATTTTATAATTAGTTGGCGCATATGCAGGACTGAGCCTGGAAATCATTTATGGTCGATAACTTTTAAAAATTATTGATTATATTAAATAAAATAAGATTTAAAAATCTTAAAAGTTTAGTATCAAAATGTTTTTTTTCTTATTAGTTAAAACAGTAACTAACTTAAAAAAATGTTATACTATAACTACACAATTTAAACCTGTCAAAATAAAAGTAATTAAAACTAACATATGTCAAAAAATTAATTATCATCCGAACTTTATATCATGGGAAATTAACCTGTTACAAGATAAAAGATTCCCCAACAAGCATATCACGGAAGAAAATATATTATTTAAGGTATTCAAATATTAATTTTAGTCTATCGAGTCGGCGATAGGAACCAAGACAACCAGTACATTACAGGTTTTGTCCGGAAAGTAATAGGTCTGAGTCGGTTTAAAAAAATTTATTGAACCAATCGTTACAATTCTCTAAGTACTTTCAAAATGGGCCCCTTCTGCGTCGATGCAGCGATGCCAGCGCGATTTCCAATCATTGAAGGCGTTCTTCGGAATAGCCTCGAAGCCGAGGTGCATGCTTATTGCTGCACCTTCAATTTATGGTCGTCAGTGAGCACTTTTGGGACCATCTTCTCGCACACTTGCGCATGTTCAAGTTCTCCGTCACAATTTCATGAACCGCCGATTTTGATAAATTCAACATCTGGGCAATTAATCGAATATTTAGTCTGAGTTGAAAACTTTGCGTACACGAGACACATTGTTGGTGTTTGTCTCCCAGCACGATCTTCATCAGCGCTCTCTTTCCAACCCTCCAAAAGGGCCTGGTGCCACCGAAACATATCACTTCTTGTTAAATCAACATCTGGGTAAGCCTGCTTGATCGCATCAAACGTCTCCGTCGCAGATTTACCGAGTTTCACACAGAATTTAATCTCTGCTCTAACGAACGCTGCATTTTCGGCTTACACCACTCACAAAAACACATCGCTCCAAAATCTTTGTCCTAACTCTCCAAGTGCTCGGAGACAACTGACCAGCCGMTCGTTCGTTAGCTAGGAACGCCCTCTACCGAATCCAGTCGGTGCGCGCACGCTCCAAAGTACAGTCAAGGCGGAAGAAAATCAGTCCCATCACTTTCCGGACAAACCCTGTATACGCAAATTACCCCCAGAACGTATCTACCTATTTTAACTTCCAAATATTCCTTTGTGATGACTGGACTTGTAAGAATGTTTAAATTTCATGTGAACAATGTATACTTAGATGTAATTGTTTTAAAATATGCTTGCTTAGTATTAAGACTTTTAAATCAATTTTTATATTTTAATCACAGGTTAGTATCAGTAAAGTTTTAATACAAAGTTGTTTCATTTTCACGCGCTCAAACCTTTACACAAATAAAGACTTTCCCCGCGAACTTCTTCAATTAGCAAATCGTTCACATACACATCGAACCGTACTCATGGAAATAATAAACTATAAATGTTTGAGTAAGTAGTATATCCGTATCTGACATAAAATCTAAAGAGCTCAAGCTTTCCCCGTTATTTTGAATTAGAAAGCTTTGAGCTTTACTGACAACCGAGAAAATTGCTGCCAACGCGTTTCAATCAAAATGCCCCGAAAACTCTAATATCATTACATTTTAAATTTGAAAAGGACATGACATGCTTTATTTAGTAATTATATTTGGGGTACTCACAACTTGTCATAAAGCATCATAAAATCATAAATTTTTGCACCAGTTTGAAAAATTTGTTGTTGGATTGCATACTAAAATAAGTTTACGCAAATACAACTCTGAACGCTATGTTTTCGGATTCTGATAACTTATAACTTTATGAGACTATGTGCAACCTCTAATTGTAAATATTAAAATTCAATGTTAAATTCACATTGAAAGCACCCAGCATATTAGCGGCATATATATTAGATCGTATAGAAAGTAATGTTTCTGATTTATGAGCCTATTGCGACTATTTTAAATGCAAGTTTTGCTACCACTTAAAATTATTTAAATGTTTTAATAAAATTTATAAATGTTCAGATTTTATTAAAATACTTCCACAATGCTTATGCGGCTTTGCGAATGAGTAGAGTGGATGTAAGTATATAGATTTATATTTGCATTTGAACCAATATATAGTTAATAGTTTCCCGACACCTTTTAATCAAATATTTTTTAATTATTACAAACTCCCTTTCTAGTCGCCTATTGTGAACACATTTGCACAAACCTAGAGTGCCAATGATTATTACTCCAATACTTTACAACAAATTGCTGTATTGTTCCATAAATTCTATTCATACATGACATTTTGGTATATAAGATATAGTATAATCCATTTTCTATTAATCTAAATTTTCGTGATAGAATATTATGTTATATTGGACTATTTTAGTTCAGTAGCTGTCTTCGAATCTTGTAATAAATAAATTATATTCATAAAGTAAAACTTTGTTAATTAATTTCACACTCCGTTTTTTATTATTATTATTTAGTTATTCATATGCAATGGTGTTATTTTATTTAGTTTTAAAATAATATGCACACTTATTGGATCATGTTTTGCAAATACTCGAATGTGTTAATCAAAATATTTTGTATCTGAATTATTAGTGTGCATGTTTATATATAAATGTATTTACCACATCATATACATTCCGTCTTAAATGAAATTAAAGCAGTTAAATAAAGATACATTCATATACTGAAGAATAAATGATATACATATATATGGTCTAAATGTTACAACATTTAATTGTACTTTAAAAGCATGTAATGAACTGTGAGGTAATTATTTATTAGTCATTTAATATCTACATACATATACTATTTTATTTATTTTTTCTTAAAATAAAAAGAAAAAATGAGTACTTAAGAAGTAGGTATATTTTGATTATTAATATCTGTATACTATAATAATGCACTTATATACATTTAGATATATTTTTGGATACACTTTTATGGCATTCAACATTAGTTAACATGTGAAGGAAGGTAGGAAAAACACTTCATTATGATGTATGTAAATATTGAGGATGATCAAAGAAGCATTCTGTTTGAAATGTTGATTCTAAATTACTTTTTAAATAGCGAACTGCTTAATATTTTAAATATTTTTGTTATTTGTGTTTAACATATATTTACAATTACAAGCTTATATATGTATCTAAGAAAGTTTCGGCATTTGTTTTGGAGTTCGTAATTTTGGTCACACCACAAAGCATTTTATTTTTTAAAGCAGGAAATAGGGTTAAAGTAGCATTGACGATATCTGACTTGGCGTTTTGTCTCAGGCATACGGAAAAGTTCGTTCATGCCGCTGCTCCACCCCGGTGTGCGAATATAAGATCTGTTATGAGTAACAAAGAACGGGATTAATAATAATTTATTAAATGAGAAATAATTTATTTGCAATGATATACGTGGGTCTATATTGTGCGATTARCATTTGCAGACGATCAAAAGGAACGGCAGAGTAAGTTGAAGGCACTGGGAGCTCATAGTAGCTATTACGTACTTCGTCGACATCCTGTCCAAAATTATCTAGATCCTGCAATTAAATTATAACACAATACAAATTTCTTCATGTTTTAGAATTTAGTGTATGTATAAGTCATATACTATAATATTATTATTATTACTGGTAATGAACGGTCATCATCTTCCGCAGAACGTTGATTCAAATTTAGTTTCCTTTACTCAAATAACATGAAAATAGCTTTGCTCAGCAATAGTAGCAGAAGCATTAAATGATACTTCTGTCACAAAACGACTCCTCTTAATTGCTCCTCATCCTTTCTAAGACTGCTTATAATTATTGGATTATTCGTAAAATAATATCAAGCTAGAAATACAAATATGAAGCAAAGGAGCAAGGGCTAATTGTAATACACATTGTATTATTTAGTGCAAGTTATTACCGAGTAGTCTTTTCGAGATGCCTCCAAGGCTGAATTTAAAGATAAAGTACAAAAAGTGAATGTCCAAAATTTACAAAGTAGTTTTCTACGTGACAAGACGTGAAACCAAAAATTCCACTTGTACTTTCTAGACGGGAAGATTTCAATGATTGACACCTTTGTAAACTTTATTTTTGAATCACAAAAAAAACCAAAACGGCCGATTTTGACATTATGAAATTATGTCCAATATTTTGTGGGTGTGTACATAAAATTGCCTACATTCCGATCCTCTGGTTGATGTTTTACATCTTAATGTAAATGTTCAGTTGAACCCCGAACTTAGCCCTTTTTTATTTGTTGTATACTATTTCGTTCATGTAGAAATCAACATTAAAGTATTTTTCGAATTACCTGATCGTTGCCGAGTGCATTTTGGGGTCGCGACTCGATTGAATTAATTGTCATCATTAGTATGACATAAAGCATAAAGATGGTTATTATTTTCAACATTTTTCCAATATTTTGCTCTGAAAAAAAAACAACCATTTTTTATATACATATAATTAAAATATAGAATAATGAACACATATTTGCAAATATACATATTTTGGCAAAAACACAATACCCATATTTAATTGACTAGGGTTATACGAAAGTTGTCGTTTTTATTTCGGGATATGGCCATCCTAGTTTTGCAACCTAGCAACTTACAACTTTATCGTAAGGTTTGACATGACAGAACGCTTGCTATATGAGCGCTTTTAGCAGGGGCGGATCCACGGGAGGGGAACTGCGGAGAGCATGGTGAATTCAATTGAGGTTGTAGATTACTCCAAGATGAATTTCGTGAATTTTTACTGTAAAAAAATTTTGTTCACGTTGGATCCCACTCAAATTGTCAATCGCTCTAAAAAAGGCTCGAGTCGGTTGGTCGAGAGAAATGTTATACAAATGCAATAGTTAGGCTTCGAACCCCATCTATGACATCGTAAGAGGGGATGAATCGTGGGTAAGAGGGGATGAATCGTGGGTTTACGCGTATAAGCCCGAAATTAAACAGCAATTCACTGTATGGGTGATTAGCGGAATTCAAAAAAATTCGAATGGTTGTCTGTTTGTGGTTGTCTTTCAAGAAACCAGGAAAATCAACCGCCGCAGACGGACCAACCTTCACCACGACAATTCGAGCTTTCACAAATCGACCGAAACAACTGAACCGTATGACTTCTTTTTATTCTCCTACGAAAGAAGCTAAACTAAAAGTTGAACGTTTTTCGACACGGGAAGAGGCAGTTGATACATTCACATGTTTTGGATACACCTCAATCAGAATAGCAAATGTTCTTCGGTAATTGGTTCAAACGAATACATAAGTGTATAGATCTTAACTGGGAATATTTTTTAAAGACAATAAAGTCATTTTCGGTGATTAACATTAGTTGTTATTCTCTAATCCCGAAATATAAATGTCAAATCTCGTAACTTCCCCCTGCGTATGGTTATACGCACAATATAAGTTATATGTAGGCGTTTACATTATGTACATATACGTGAACATATTACAACATTCGTATACAGAACTCAATAATATTGTACCATTACAATATTACTTAGATAACTTCCGATGATTGCATTGAATGTAATTACCAACGTAGTAAGACATAAAACCGCAAATGTCTTCTTCATACATAACAGAATATTCCTCAAATTATCACTAATGCATTTAAAATTTGCAGTATGACATTTTAATTTAATTTTTTAAGTAAATGCCGTGAAAAAACCTGATTCATGAACAATTATAAATTATCTATATCTGAATTTAGTATTTTTTTTAATAGACATACCTTGAAAATTTTTTTTAATTTTCAGATGATTATATACGTATCTGCATTTTCATTTCCTGAAATCCCAAATAAGAAATAAAAAAATAAAAAAACGAATTCCACTTACTGGATTAAAAAATAAAAACAAAACTAAAAATTTGATTCCCAAGCATGTAATTAAGAATTAAACAAAAAATAAATGTATTTTCATCAAGTGAAGTTTTACGCATCTTATTTATATAAAAAAATAAATCTTTTAATTAATATTTCCAAACATCTTAGATTAAGAATTAGATCGGGATTAAAAATTAAATTTTGAATTATTTTACAATTCTTTAAGCAAAGCAAATCACATAGAAGTGTATAATCAAAAAGCATTTACGTCTGCAAAGCAACAATGCTGCTGCTCGATTGAAACGTAATATTTTTCTCACAGGTAGCAAGATTCATTTCCGCAAATCGTGCCAGACTAGTGTCAGGGCTGGAAATGGCGTATGAATACAGAGCAATAGCATTGAAAGGAATAAAAAGTTTAATTGCAATTCTGCAACACGATTTCGTATTTGCCACAAACAATACGTTAAGGTATCAATGTTGCAACGCTTCAGCAATAGAAGAATGAATAACATGTAGCTAAAAATTAAAATATGTATATGTTTTACAGTATAAGAAATGTTTGAAATAGTTTTGGATAATGGCTTCTTTTTCAAATTACTTCACCCATTAATATAAATATAATAACAAACTTATGCAATCGAAAAACTTTATAGCAGCGAAAATATTTGTATACAATTTAAATAATACATATAAGGAAATTAGTTCTATAAAAGTTCCTTAAAATGTACTTATAAAGATCTATTTTAATTAGCCGACATTTAAATCCTTCTAGTATGAAGTCGAATAGATCGAACAGGTACTATACTTTACCATCATAAATTCCTCATTAAATCAATTACATAAACTGGTTGCGTGTATGCAAAATGGAAATAATGAAAGTAGGACATTGTAAATATACATGCATATGTACCACATATGTACATATACTACATGTACATTTACGACCGCGGCTTATTCTTAGTTATTAAGAGTATATTTGTGTATTAGAGGATGAAGAATGTATGCATATCTTCAATCAAAAGCCCGCTGTCGCAAACCTGGCAAAATTAATTTCACACTCCGCTTTAACAAGAATTATAAGTATTTTGGCATGCAAACCACGCTGAAGGAAAGAGCAACTTACAACTTTTTAGCTTACACCGATTGAATCAATGCATATTACTAATTTAATAAATTTACCGATATTTTAACCTTTTTTCAATACTTTTTAGCTTTAGCTGAAAAACAGTTATTACTATTACCTAATTAATGAAGTAATTTAAAAATTAAATTCCAACATTAAACTTATTTTAAAATCTTTCAAAAAAATAAACGGAAATAACAAGCCGAATGATTTATTGCCCCAAAAGTATTTTATTACTCAAATCAAAGAAAATTTTGTACTTTTTTACTAATGGCGTTTGCAAACATTAGGTTATCGTCGCCTACGACAACTTTTGAAACAAATTCTCAAATTTTTTCATCTTGGCACAGTGAAAGTGTCAAATTTCATTGTCATTACAATTTTATTTTTACCCATATACATATATGTATGTATATATACATCTATTTACTGTCATAACATGCAAATTTATTGTGGCTGTTAAATGCTTACCATTTAACTTACTAGAAAAGCTTTATTTCAAACAAAAACGCATTCATAAGTATGGGAGCATGTATACACAATAAGTATGAATATGGTGCTATTACATCTATTGAAATGTAAATATTTTTATGTATTTATTAAAAAAAAAGAAAACTAGTAAATTTGTTTAGTAATTAAAAATTTTTGTTTTCTCCATGTATATACTAACCTACTTTTAATATGTTATTAACTTAAAAGATTTAACTCAGACAATTATATTAATTATTATTTGTACAATCTTCTCACGGTTTTATTGCCATTTAAAATCAAGTGGTGAGTGTCGTACCAAATTCCTTTTTTATTGTGCAAAATTGAAAAAGATTGTGTCTTAACTTCATTGTATGTAGTATATATGTTGATTACTGTGTTGTTGAAGTATTGTTGCTTTAGTCTCCAATTCAAAACTGCTCGCTGCTCAAATGCAGTTAACGACAATAAATTCAGGCACATACCTACGCATAAACACGTATAGTGCCCATAATTTTTGATATCAAATTTCAAATTAACTTGCAAATGTTATTTATCAGACCAATAAACATGTCCTGATTATGAGGGTTTTATTTGATGTACTTATGTTCGCTTACTCTTTGTTGAACGATAATTACTGCTATATCATAGCGGAAGTATAACAATTATAGACAATATTTATACTTTGAACACTTTGCTTTTTTATTTCTAAAAGTTTTATTTACATATGTTATGTTCTAAAAACACTAGTCATATGATGTCAAAGTTGCTATGCTAATACCAAACCATACTTATGCGTTTCTTGTGGGATAAACAGGTATTCACCCACAAGTAAAACAACATATAAATACTCATGAATGTGTAAGTATTGCGTTGAATTAGGAACATACGATTTTATGACAACCAACTAATCCAATTTTATTGCATAGGATTCCATTCATATTCCCATACTGATAAATTGGGACGCATGTGATAGTAAAATATTAGATAATGGGTTCAACAGGAAACAAAAAAAAAATCCAAATGCCGGTGATTTGTCCGTTAGTTGCATTGCAGTACAAAATTTTAAATTGCAAAATAAATGTCTGTATGTAACACACTGAAAAGTTCATACATACTATACTATGTCTCTACAAAGTTTGAAAGCACCAAAATCCGAATCCCATAAACAAGTACGCAAGTTTCTTTAAAACTCTCATTCCGTTATATTTTATACTCAATTAAGACATTTCACGTTTCATTGATAATTTGTGTGTATTTACACATTTAATTCGCCAAAATCAATGCCAATGAAATTAAAGTTGGAACTAAGTTGAAAATCATTACATTTGATAGATAAGCAATGAGAAATGTTTTGAGTTTTTATAGTTATTTAAAAGTGTGGTGGTACTGATACATTATCTCCCACAGGCTTCCTCTCCATGCAAATAAATTTACAAAATTAAATAGTTACAAAAACTGATTGAGTTTATGTTGTAACTCAAAATTAATTGGAAACATTTCTAAAATATAAAATTTTAAATCAGAATAGTACTATTATTAAAAATATAACATCAAATAATAATTACTTCCAAAGATTTCTGAAAAACTATGCAATGGTAAACTTAGAGTATATATCCAGCTAAAACGGTTATATTTACCCTTGACATATTGAAACACGGTTTTTAAATTTTGTACAATAAAGTTAAAATATACATACTCTTCATAGTAGCCTTTCCAAATGCAATTTGATTTTCTATTTTTTAAGCATTAACATTAAATGCATGGCGATATACTAAAGTAATAGATTAGTTGGCTATTCGCATCGCTTAGTCGGTAAAATAAGCCATTTTACACTGTCTACACCTCACATATGTATATGAACTTGATTATTTGTAGTTAAAAAAAATTAAATTAAAAATTATAGATGTACATGAGTACGAAAAATACATGAAGCAAATACATTGATTATTATTTTGAAAGCAAATTCAAATGAAGAAAAGGCAGAAGAACTTTTATTTTATATACACTATTTTTTGGATTGTAAGTAATGTTAAAAGATATA